GGCTTCATTTGTCATTGCATCAGGAGAGAGAGAGAGAGAGGAGAGAGATTTGGATTCTCACATGGCAGAGTGCTAGAAGAACCGTTGATTGATATGCACTCTGGTTATAAATTTACCCCTTTATGACCCATAATCACATCAATAAATGAAGGCTACTGTTGGCAAAACAAATGCTTAAGATGCAGTTTCCAGCTCTCTCTCTCTCTCTCTCTCTCTCTCATGTGCATCTGTGAACAGTACAGGTAAGATGGGGATACTAACAAAAGGTGGAGGTAGTAATCTATATCTATCTATCATCTATCTATCTATCTATCTATCTATCTATCTATCTATCTATCACTGGGAGGGACACTAACCATGACCCTCTAGCCCTTAGGCCTTTACTCTTTATAATCACTGCAACACTGCCAGCCTCGTTCCACCTTCCTGCCTAATTACCTCCTCCTCTCTCTCTAAGCTCCGCCCCTCTGTGAGCAATGGGATGCAGCTGACAGGGTGGCTTTGACCCGACCTCCTGCTGGGCTCCAGGACTTCTGTCCCACCAGTCCGTAGAGGCACCAGACACCCCTGCCCCCACCCCACCCCAAAACCCAAAGCTCTCCAACCTCATACACCTGACTGTGGTTCAGGTTAATCCTATTTAAACTTCTACTACATGATCCATCAATTGCATTTTCATCCCACCCTTTCTCAAACGATCTCCGGGTGACATACATTTTGTTTTCACAACAACTTAGAGAGAAATGGTTTGCAGCTTGCATGAAATATAATGCTAACATCGGGAGAGAACTGGCCTTGAGAGTAGACAAACTGTGGTTAAAGGCTACTTATGCTGCCTCTGCAGCAATCTGAAGGCACGTGTAACAATCCTTTAAAAACATTTGTATGAGACTTTTTAAACACGCTAAGTGCTTCGTACACAATGTCCAAGTGAACCCATTATAACAGAGTCTAAAGGCGGAAGAGCAGTAAATAAAAAATTTACCTATATAATAGTAGGCTAGTTTCTACACACACTCAGGCACACCCCTCTCCATTCTCCATTATCAGATACATTATCAGAAATCAAGGACACTTTCCAGCCAGGCAAAAATAAGGATACAAAAAAATTAAGGGCAACAGCAACAACCCCCACCTCCAACAAAAACCCTTAAGCATGATTCTGTTCAGCAGCTTCTGCTTTTGTAGCTGGAGTCAATCAGGCGCCCACCCTCCCAGGCCAGTTGGAGCACGTCTTCCAGGACTCACAGCCAAAATAGTCTACATTGCTGACCAGTGAACCCAGGCCTTGATATGTACTCAAGCTGCTGTATCACACTTGATGCATAATTCTCAATGAGAGGTGTTAAAAAGGAGAATAAGGGTATCATTTCAGGGATAAAGCACCCAGCCTGTTATGGAGCATAACCACTTGGGAAACCTGAACATTTATTAAAAACAGGAATCCAATTATGCCATGGAACCAGTGGAAAAAAGTGAATCCCTGCAGTCACAAATGAAGTAATTCAGTCAGGCAGAATCCAAAAACATCCCCCAAAGCACTATCCCCCTTTTCACTCGTCTGTCTGTCTTCTGATCAATCTCATTAAGCAGAAATGTTGTTTTCCTTCAGCATTTCTGTTTGTGACCTTTATGATTCCTAGGTGTATTGACTTACACGCTCTGAATGAGAACTCAGAAGTTTTGTTGTTCTTGGCTTCTTCTACTTTTTTTTTGTTTTGTTTTTTAAGTTCTCACCCCTCAGAGAAATTCAGGTGCAAGTCTCACCTGCTTGCGCTGAATCAAATATGTGTCATCTTATCTGGAGGGAAAACCTGAAGATGCATCACGCACAGCAGGGTTTGCCAGGAAGAAGATGGTGCGAGATGCTACAGAGCAGGGGACTGTGGTGGGTTGTGAGCAGGGAGCAGAGAGAGTGTTGAAAGCAAGACACTGTGGTGAAGCGGCTAGAGCAGAGGGGGGTGGAACCATTTTCGTCCCAAGGGCCACCTTCCCTCATTGCAGCCTTCTGGGGGCCACATGCCAGTAGCAGCCAGGGCCAAAGGCAAAAGAGGGTAGCACAATGAATGTGACTTTCACCTAGGTATATTGGAGGGCTCTGACAAAAAGCAGGAGTGGAAATGGCAGGTGTTCACTTAATTGTCGGATGTTCAGAACAGATATTATTTCAGTGAATATACATAATTGGTATTCACTGTTGTTGTTTTCAGGCAGCAAACGATCCATCATTGATCACTCCTCCACCGCCAACACTAATTTGCAGAAACAATAACATTGTTTTTGTTGGAAGCTGAACTGCAGCAGAATTGAAACAGCTCTGCATGTGATGGTGTGGAAAAAGAACGATGGCTTCTGACATTCTTACTCTTAGCTTTGTACAGTTTTCTGCATTCCAGCCATACAAAAGTTTTGACGCATACCACATATACTTCCTTCTAGGCAAGTAAGAGGCATCATGACAGTCCAACAACACATTCCAGCCAGAGAAAAGCAAGGAGGAGGGTGTTGGGCAAGACCCGTGAAGATCATGTCTTGGGAGATGGTGTGAACTTAGCATAAGGCAGCTTCCTGTGTTCCATGTGATCCGGGGAGAGTTCAGGAGAAGGTAAATAGAGAGGACAAAAGGGCTGCATTTGGCCCCTAGGCCTGACTTTCTCCACTCCTGGGTTAGAAGGTTGAGCTAAGGCAGGGGTCAGCAAACTTTTTCAGCATGGGGCCGGTCCACTGTCCCTCAGACTGTGTGGGGGGCCAGAATATATATATATATATATATACAGTGGTGCCTCGCAAGACGAAATTAATCCGTTCCGCGAGTATCTTCATCTAGCGGTTTTTTCGTCTCGCGAAGCAACCCTATTAGCGGCTTAGCGGATTAGCGCTATTAGCGGTTTAGCGGCTATTAAAGGCTTAGCGACTTAGCGGATTAGCTGCTAAAAGGCTATTAAAGGCTTAGCGGCTTAGAAAAAGGGGGGGGCGAAAAAAAATCTCAAGACTCGCAAGACATTTTCGTCTTACGAAGCAAGCCCACAGGGAAATTTGTCCTGCGAAGCGCATTGAAAAACAGAAAACCCTTTCGTCTAGCGGGTTTTCCGTCTTGCGAGGCATTCGTCTTGCGGGGCACCACTATATATATGTGTGTGTGTGTGTGTGTGTGTGTGTGTGTGTGTGAATGAATTCCTATGCCTCACAAATAACCCAGAGATGCATTTTAAATAAAACGACACATTCTACTCATGTAAAAACAAGCTGATTCCCAGACCGTTCACAGGCCGGATTGAGAAGGCGATTGGGCCAGATCCGGCCCCCGGGCCTTAGGTTTCCTACCCATGGGCTAAGGTGGCATCTGCAGGCATCAAGGTACCAGACAGTATCCACTGATGCATGCTACAAAAGGTCTCAGTAAATATCTCCTCAAAAATCCACAATGTGCAAGTGACTGATTGCTCACCCTGTTCATTTTCCTGTTTGCATTGACTGAGCCTCTCCTGCACGGAAAACCCACCGCCTGCCAGGATTGGACACCCACCCGTTTTGAGCAGAGAAGGGGTACAGTGGTACCTCGGGTTACATACGCTTCAGGTTACATACGCTTCAGGTTACAGACTCCGCTAACCCAGAAATACTACCTTGGGTTAAGAACTTTGCTTCAGGATGAGAACAGAAATCATGCTCTGGTGGCACAGTGGCAGCAGGAGGCCCCATTAGCTAAAGTGGTGCTTCAGGTTAAGAACAGTTTCAGGTTAAGAACAGACCTCCAGAACGAATTAAGTTATTAACCCGAGGTACCACTGTATGTTGTCCTAACTGAAGTTTCGAGAAGCCTTCAAAAGGCAATTTGAGAACCCAACAGATATGTTGGATCAGACCAAAGGCCTATCAAGTCCATCATGGTGTTCTCACAGTGGTCAACCAGATGGATATGGAAAGCTCAGAACTTCACTTTCAACAAAGTACAATAGTCCAGCCTATAGGTCACCAGGCTATAGATACCTGTGGCCAGATTATCTCAGGCTGGGGGGGGGGGTCACAACTGGTGTACTAGCCTCAGCTGGCAAAAGGCACTGCACATTACAAGAAGTACTAATGTATTCACTGTCCCTCCTAGATCTGTCCATACCAGTGGTCTGGGGTAGAAAATTTCCCACTGAAAAGCTTCCAGATTTTATTTTCCCGTGGGTTTTTTTGGGGTGGTGGTGGTGGAAATCTGTTTCATAAGTTAATTAGTGACAAAGAATGGATGCCAACTGCAAACACATGCTTGGCAGTTTCGATGCTTTTAGCTTTGTTTTCAAAATGCAAGGGAAATTAACATGCTAAATTAGGTTACTCTCCAGAGTATCAGAAAAATTTCAAATGCAAATGAGGGCAATTTGCATTGGAAAATGTTATGGAAAACCCACATCACCCCCAGACCAGAGACCTGGTTCTTTTGGAGGAGCATGATCTCATGGAAGAGTGGATAAGCAGCAGCAAGTTGGTCAGGTAACCTACCTGCCATCTTATCTGGAGCCTGGATAACTGTTCTTGGGAAGTTAGCTTACACTACATCAAGACTGATTGTCTATCTTGCCATCTACAGCTTCTCTCCAGGGTATCAGGGGAAAAGTTTTTTTTTTACTTGATTTTTCTTTTTAACAAGACATACCACGTATTGTGCTGTGGGTTAAACCACAGAGCCTAGGACTTGCCGATCAGAAGGTTGGCGGTTCGAATCCCTGCGACGGGGTGAGCTCCTGTTGCTCGGTCCCTGCTCCTGCCAACCTAGCAGTTTGAAAGCACTGTGCTTTCAACAAAGTCAAGGAGCAAGTAGATAAATAGGTACCGCTCCAGCGGGAAGGTAAATGGCGTTTCCGTGCGCTGCTCTGGTTCGCCAGAAGCGGCTTAGTCATGCTGGCCACATGACCCGGAAGCTGTACGCCGGCTCCCTCGGCCAATAAAGTGAGATGAGCGCCACAACCCCAGAGTCGGCCACGACTGGACCTAATGGTCAGGGGTCCCTTTACCTTTACCACGTATTGAACCTGGGATCTTCTGCATGCAAAGCAGCTGCTCTGCCCCTGAGCTGTAGAGCCCTCTGCTCTTGACTGTCAACAAAGTACGACCTTCTCTTCTAGCCAAGCTCCAGCTCTAGCAACTAGCTGGAAGTACAAGGGGTGGGACAGTACTAGCTCCAGATACAGCTGCCCATAGCCCAAGCCTGGCCCAGACAGGTTATCAAATTTCTGCACCCTTGGCATTCCAAGGCACCTTTCCCCAGCCTTTTTCTCTTGCCAGGGTATTTTCTAGAAATGTGATCTACCACCAAATGCCACACGGCTGAGCCAAGAGCTCCTGTTTTTCCAAGGCGACAGGAGTTTCTACTGAAGCATGAGATACTATAGGCAGGATTCAGTGAGGCTTGATTCCCTAGACAGAAAGGAAGAAACATGCTTTCCTGGAACTTAATTATACAGTGGTACCTCAGGTTAAGTACTTAATTTGTTCCGGAGGTCTGTTCTTAACCTGAAACTGTCCTTAACTTGAAGCACCACTTTAGCTAATGAGGCCTCCTGCTGCTGCCGCACCACCGGAGCATGATTTCTGTTCTCATCCTGAAGCAAAGTTCTTAACCTGAAGCACTATTTCTGGGTTAGTGGAGTCTGTAACCTGAAGCGTATGTAACCTGAGGTACCACTGTATCCTATTCTCAGCTAACAATGTGTCTACGTAAGAAACACATTTCAGATAAAGGGATACTATTTACCAGCCCACACCTCTGACCAATGATGAACAAGCTTTCAGATGGGAAGATGAGTAAAGGTCATTTTCTCCTCCTTTTTATGTGTACCTATCTCATTCCACCATTCTTTCTATTTCTTTCCTTACTATTATTTGGCAACAACCCCCATCCTACATTTCAACCCTCTCCTCTTGCATATCTGCATTTCTGATGGAGAAAATGAGATTCCAACTTCTCCCAATGGAAAGAGCTGACACTTTCTCTTGGAAGAAGGGAGGCCAAGGCCTCAACACCATGAGGGGGCTGTATAGGCTTTTCCCAGGAAAGCTTTTGACAATGGCCAGTGTCCTCCATAGAATGAAATTGTGAACAAGAAAGATTTCTGTGAATATGTGGACTATCTTTCTTGCTTCATTTACATTATGATTGTGTTAAGAAGTAACATTAAGCCATGGGAGGTCAAGCTTCTATACGATGCAGCAAAATGTAGAAGGCGATGAAACCTATGATGCAGTGCATGGATGCGACCAAAAGGCTCAAATGGTGATAACTGTGGAGGGGGAAAGAATGACTGGGCTATTATTGCCAAAATCAGCATCTGAAATCAACGAAGCACAGGTTATCAGAGTAAATGCATACATACAGAATATAGCTGTCACAGAAGAGCCTTTCACAACGTGCAGCATAATAAAATAAGAAGAGTAGGTGGACCATTGGCCCACCTCCTCCAGCATCCTGTTCTCACAATTGGCTATTGGAAACCAGCAAGCAGGATTCAAGCATAAGAGTACCGTATTTTTCGCTCCTTAAGACACACTTTTTTCCTCCTAAAAAGTAAGGGGAAATGTCTGTGCGTCTTATGGAGCAAATGTGTGGTGATTGCTGGCTCCTTTTCTGGCCCCGGCCCCTTGTCCAGGCCTCCGTTGTTGAATGTTCTGCAGATGGAGGCTGTTTGTTTCCCAAGTGACATGTGACTGGCTGATTAGATTATCTGTCTGGAAACTGTAGGAACGGCTCCCTTTCCTTTCCTAAAGAAGCTGCAGAACTGTGAGTTGAACCCCATGAAAACAGGATTTTTTCCCCTTTGCAAAGTAAGCTCAACAACTTTGAGATGATCCTCAAAAAACAGGGGCTATTCCCCTTTGCAAAAGAAGCTGCACAACTGTGAGCTGATCCCCCCCAAAACGGGGGTTTCCCCCTTTCCTCCTCTAAAAGCTAGGTGCATCTTACGGAGCGAAAAATACGGCACCCTTTCCTCCTATGGTTTCAAACAACTGATATTCAGAAGAATTGCTGCCTCCAACTGTGAAAGCAGAGCATAGCCATCATGGCTAGTAGCCAGCAATAGCCCTCTTCTCCATGAATCTCTTTAAACCTCTTTCAAAGCTATTCAGGTTGGTGGCTGTCACTACCTCCTGTGTGAGAAATTCCCATAGTTAACAATGTGCCACATAAAATAGCTTCTTTTATCTAAAGCAACACAATAACTTGCTTGATACCATGTCAGACCACATTTCCCACCCCAACCTTAAACGGCCTGACCTGCGCCATTGTTCTCTTGCTGACAGAAAATATTTAAAACACATACCATCCTAGAGGTGTTATCTCTAGATGCACAATAATTTTGATGATGCCCAAACTACACAAATTTAGCTAAATGTTATGCAAGTTTACTTTGAAATGAGTCCCATTTCTTGCAACCTCCAACTGAGCGTGCATATTTGGACCTGCAGCCTGAATTTAAAACAAACTATTCCTGTTTTAAACTTTTCCTCAATGGAGGGGAAAAAGCAAATAAGCAAGCAAAACCTTTATTCCAGAAAATGCCCAATTATCCCACATCACCATGAATATCTAAGTCCCTTTTATGTTATCATATTGAGGCATAGCAGAAAACAGCTTTTCTAAGTACCAGTGATCATAAGCTTTTTACCTTTGAAATCTGTGCTTTGTTTGAAGCTCTGCAGAATACTACTCTAGGCTCTGCACTTCTAAAGGAAATGGGTCAAAGGGCAAAGAATGCATCCCAGAATCTTCTGGAAATAGAACAAACTGGATGGTGGAGAAACAATCCCTTAAAATAAACAAAGCTACAATTGCATACTTCACATACACAAAACACAAAGCCCTTTCAGTCCAAAATATTGTTGAAAAGGAATGTAAAAGGGACTGAAGAGTGATCAACCAATGAATGGCACACTATTAAGTTACAAGAGTACAACAAGAACAACATCTTATGAATTATCAAGAATGGCCATAAACTGTGCAGTGATACTCCTTGTGCAGCTGACAGTGCAAAATGAACATGTTAGTCCTTCTTAACAGATAGCTAAGGACCTGCAGGGGCTCAAAACAGCTTATATGTTATTGCAAGTTTGGAGGAGATTTATTACTTGTTCATTTATTTGTTCATTCATTCAAAACATTTTTATTCCACTCACTCACAGATGGACATAAAAATATCAATGAAGAAGCAGCCCATGCCTTCAGGACCATAATTTAAAAGGCACAACATAAAATGAAAAGGAGATGGGGAGGGAGGAGGAAAAATACAAATCCAGGTGTCAGTCTTCAGCTGTAGAGTTCTTCTATCAGCCACAACGAGCATGCCCAACAGCCAGGAGTGATGAGAATCTAACAAAATCTAGGGGACTACACTTTTTCTACTGCATGATAAAGGGTTCTCAGATACTGAAGGTGTGTGTGATGGTATATGTATGTACACACAAACACACATACCACTACACACACACTTACTAAATCCTCTGTGTCCCTCCTCAGTCTGCTATCCAGGAGGTGCTTACAGATGGGATTGCTCACTGATTCCCCCACCGGGGGGAAAAACCTGACTTAAAATAGAGGACTGCTTCTGTAGAATTCTGTGGGCACTTGAGTTTTATAGGGAAAGCAGAAAGCAGGCCGTATCAAGACACAAGCTGGAGTCAAGCAGAGAGCATCCAAAACCCCAGGCAGTTCCAAAACATAAGACCTATTTAAGCAGCTAGAATACAGGACCTTGGACAGCTCCAGGGATACTAAAAGTGAATATTCTGGAGGACACTAGAGACAATCAGATTCATATGGAGGCCTGCCAGTCCTGTAGGTGATAGCTTCTGTCTTCCTGGAGGAACTAGAAGCTTCACCTATTTTGTTAGCCACTGCCTTCTGCAAGGTTGCCGAGACAGAGGTATTGTCAGGAACCCTAACTTTGAGTTAGCTGTGGCCTACAGTCAACAGTAGCTCATATTCAGGTTCTGTTGGTTCTTCCTCAAAGGAAGTAGTCTGAACCTTGTCCTTATCCTAGTCCTCAGTCTGTCCTGCAAGATCACCTGTTCCAGACAGTTAGGACACATGCCCACCCTAGTTTAAGCTGGGATGTCACATGGACAATAGCCTTTCTGAGCTCTTGTTCTGAGACTAATTTTCACATAAACAGGGAAATTTGTTTTGTTTTGTTTTGTTTTGTTTTGTTAATATGGCAGACATTGCATGGGGAGAGAGAACTATGGCTGGCTCACATGGGTAGATGATGATGATAGATAGATAGATAGGTAGGTAGATAGATAGATAGATAGATAGATAGATAGATAGGTATAGATATAGAGAGACAATCAGTGATCATAGAGAGAAATAAATCTACTTGTGAACTCCTTCACCCCCTTTGATTATTGAGCAATAGATGTACTGTAAGGCTAAGAAAAAGTTTTGAATTTCTTAGGATCCCTTGCTAGAAGCAAGGCTTACATGGCAATGAATTAATGGAAACAGCCCTCGTGCGGAATGTACCAAGGGACAACCACAGACTCCCTTGATCTAATCAATAGCTGCCACTCAGCTTGAATGTGGTGTTGTAACGAACAGAGCTTCTTCCCCCTAAAGATATGTTATTTTGTGAGATATCAAATAAAACAAAAGCACAGGCTTTTGACAGCTCACTCAAAAAGAATGATAATCAGCTAGAGTTCAAGTGCGTGAATGTTACCCAGTAGACTTATACTGGAGAGAAGCATGCATGGGTGAATTTACAAAGTTACATTTTGCAACTGCTTTTAATTCTCAGTGCACACACACACACACACACACACACACACACACAATTAATTGCTCAGATGTTGAGCAGGAAAAAATGAGACAATTGGGCTATTCCCACCCTTACTCCTACCTCCGTTAAAATGATATCTAATGGCAAAAGACGGCTAACCCATCACATGCTGTTCGACTCTGAGGTCCATCGGCCCTAGCCAGCATGGGCAATGGTCAGGGATGATAGGAGCTGTAGTCTAGTAGTAACTGGAAAGTCATGGTTAACCAGTCTTATCTTAGAAGCTGCCATTTGTCCATCTAACACTACTG